TCCGGGTCATGACGAGACGCCTCACTACTATCCACCACCTCCCGTTTATTATGACGAAACACCTCCACTTGAGCCGACTCGAGAGGCTTCTCGAGTCAATCTAGCCGAGATTATGGAGCATTTAGAAGAGTGCAATCGATCCCTTCGCGCTTCCATGGCCCCCATGTTCGAAAAGGATGAAACCGAGACTTATGCTCCACCCTCTCCATCATTTGAGCACCTATCGGTTGGCCAACCTTGTACACCGAGGACCGAAGCTTCAATTCCAACAACGGTTGAGCCTACCGAGCGTCACCGAGAGGTTTTGACGAGCACTCAAGAGGCACATGCGAGCCTCATGTCGATCATTGAGGAGTTTCATAGTTGGAGGTGTATTCACATTCCATCCATTCTTCAAGTCACACTTACGAAGTTTGACTCTATCGTGGTCTCTTTCCTTGATTTGGACGCATCTCACATTCCTCTCGGTAGATATTGTTCTCTATCGGCGAGGGTTATTCGAGAGAGCACCCGGTTAGAAGGCGAGTTTCGAGCTATGGTGGATAGGTTTGCCTCCTTGAAAGAGGTGGGCCTCACTCTCGTTTATGACGGTACTCAATCTCTTGACACGAGTGAGGACATCGACGATTTGATTGTCAAAGAAATTCCCTCTATCAACGATTCGACCGTGCAATCCACGTTAGGTACGTCAACTCTTTCTTTCGGTGATAGTGCTTTGAGCTTTGATTTTAGTGTTGAGAGTGAGCATGAGGAATCGGGTGTTAATATGGTGTATGTTATGGGGGAGAATTCATTTGAGGGTTCGATTGTGTCGAACGGTGTTGATTGTGCTCGAGAGGATGATATTGAGGAGGAGGATGTGGTAATTGATGATTTTGTGGATGTTGTTAAGGAGGATTCCGAGCTATTATGTGATGTCGTGGACCTGAGGTGTGCGTTGATTGAGGAGTCGACTTGTGATGTTGAGTATGACGTGGTTCCTATGTCCTTTGGGTCATCGTTTCGTATTATTGAGGATCGTGACCATTTGGAGGAGTTTAGTGTGCCTACGCC